GACAACATCGGGCTGAACGCCATGGCCAACCGAGACAAAGCAGGTAAGAGACACCCGAGAGGTCACGACCTTTAACCTTTGAGATGTCCCTCAGCAGAGAGAAGCAGAAACAGGTCTGATAAACAGGTCTGACTTCAGGGAGACGGCTCTCTACAATGTTTAAACACTAGGGGTCAGAGTTACAGACTGCTCCTTTAAAAACATTTTAACAGTCAGTTCATCAGCATCATTTCAGTAGATTAACAGCGCAGGTCGACTTCTAGAAACTTTCAACATGTGGGCGAGATGTCCGAGTAAAATAATGAGACAAAGCCTCGAATCAACATCAAGTTTTTATTTATTTATTAAAGCTGGATACCAGCGTGTTTCAGTCTCTTCTCCACGGAGAGAAAATCCTTCAAAACAACGACACTCAGCGTTCAACAGACTCACTTCTGACATCTCTTCTTTAACGGCTCTCTTCCGATGAAGACATTTATTTGTTGTCAGGTTTCATCCAATTTCCTTTAAGATAAATATTCAAAGAGAAGTGAGCCTGTAACCATGACAACCAGCTACCCCAAACATTCATGACTATAAATGCATTTGATTTGGCGCAAAAACGGTGTTGAACACAGAAAAAGGCGAAGGAACAACACTGTACTGTATGTCATTTTCTCCCGGAGTCAAGGAACTACACATCCCACAATCCATTGCAACTTCTCCCTCTTCTTCCTTAAAGGCTTAATGTGATTTTTCACACTTAAATGTAGAAATCAAGTATATCCTCTGAAAATAACTCTGTGAGTGACACTCTATGATGGTGGGTAGTGTAGTTCTTTTCCCCGATATCGACCATCGTTTCACTCGGGTCGCTCGTGGTCATTCTACCTTGGGTGGTTATGACATCATCTGTGACTACGTCCCTGTTGCCTAAAAACAGTTTGAACACATTTCCTTTCAACACAACTTTAATGAACTTCAGATACTTCAGTGTTGTTGGTACGTTTTCGTCTTTTCGTGGAGGTCGTTTGGCGGTAAGAGAAAACCTCGCCCTGCTGTGTGCTCGCGTCACATCCATGAAACCCGAGGTGTGAGTGTTTAAAAATGTCCGTCTGTTCCTGCAGGTGTGAAGCAGCTGAAGTGGGAGGCTCAGCGAGACGACTGGATCCAAGGCCGAGACGCCAAAACCATGCGCAGGAAGAAGACCATGTTCAACAAGAAGAAGTCGTTCGGACGAGCGAGGGCGGGAGGGAAAACGTTCGGGAACAAGATGAGGAAGAAGTAACAGCTGCTTTTTTCTGTGTTTGTTTGTTTTTTTTTTTCCCGTCTGGCGGCTTCATTCCTGTTTGGCCGACCAGGCTTCGTGGTCACTCTCTCGGATCCCGTGGATGCCCGCCATCTCGTTGGACTTGTAGTAAACTGGGGAGGAAACGGGAGAGCAGAAACATGAAACACCGCCCCCCCTCCCTTTTAAGAGAGAAAAGACTTTCACATACAGGAGACTCTGTTGTCATGGTTACGTGTTCTTCTTGTATCTATAACGATGTACAGAGTTCATTAATCAGATTAAAGTTATTCATGTTTTCTGACGCAGCGGGTTATCGGTTTATTTCTGACTCCTCTTGAAAACTTCTCTCCTGTCCTCTTACAAAGAAAGAGTTTGAGCCACACAATAAAGTGAATTATCTTAAAGATACAGTCAGCAGCTTGTTCCTTCAAAATAAAATACAGACTTTTACAGGAGTGAAGCTGCTCCATGGTCCCTTCTGGGCCTCCGTACATGATGGTGGTGACTGTCTGCAGAGACTCTGGTGGTGACTGTGTCTGCAGAGACTCTGGTGGTGACTGTCTGCAGAGACTCTGGTGGTGACTGTGTCTGCAGAGACTCTGGTGGTGACTGTGTCTGCAGAGACTCTGGTGGTGACTGTGTCTGCAGAGACTCTGGTGGTTACTGTGTCTGCAGAGACTCTGGTGGTGACTGTCTGCAGAGACTCTGGTGGTGACTGTCTGCAGAGACTCTGGTGGTGACTGTCTGCAGAGACTCTGGTGGTTACTGTGTCTGCAGAGACTCTGGTGGTGACTGTGTCTGCAGAGACTCTGGTGGTTACTGTGTCTGCAGAGACTCTGTCCTCTCACTGGATTTTACTGATCTGGTTCGCCCATGAAAGGCGTCTGATCCAACCTTCACAACAGGGTCCTAAGTCTCTGACTAGACTCTTCTCCTCTGTCGCCCCCCGGTGGTGGAATGAACTACCAAACTCCATGTGAGTCCCTTTGCACCTTTAAGAAAAAGCTAAAGACCCAGCTCTTTATGAACACCTATGACCTGAATGATGATGGTTTTTGTTTGATAACAACTTTTTCTTTCTTTTTTTTCCAAGATTTATTTTTGGGTTTTTTTGCCGACTACAGCCGCCATGCATGGGTCGCACGCACTAACCACTGCACCACCAGCGCCCTAATAAGGACGACTTATAAGATGGTTTCTATACTGATTAGAGCTCTCAAGAACTGCCCT